CTATGTTGTAACTATCTCTGAATTACTAATAAAGATACGAGCAAGGCCTCACCTTAAAACCAAAAAAAAAAAAAAAAGTAATATTTAAGAGTATATGTTTGTTAGTTGTAAGCAAATTCAAAATAGTTAGTCTGTACTATTTACTAACAACATATTTGTGTATAATTAAATGCAAAGAAATGTGCAAGCTGTGCTTGGATTTTTTTTAAATTCTAAATACTACGATAGTTTTTTGTAAGAATAAAGAATTATATAGTAAAATATAGTTATTGTAGCAGATTAAATTCAGATTAAAATAAAATAATAATATAAAATCTCGAAAAATAATTTTTTTTAGTAAGTATTTTTTAGGGCTAGAGGTTAGAATTGGAGGTTAGAATTAGAGTAAAATATATTAAACAAGTATAAATGAGTTTTAGAAGGTTAGAAGATTGAATAGAAAATATAGATTTTATTTTAAATTATGATCTGTAACAGTTATTATGCTTTATTAAAGTTTACTGCTATTGTATTATTTTGATTTTAGTTAATAAATAAGAGATTGACCAAGAAATTTTTTAATAGCAAACATTAGCATTTCACAATTATTAAGGAGACAATGATAAATCTAGATTATAATTTATTATAAGATCAAAAGAATAATAATATGCATGCAACCCATACTAATTAATTTCAGTTAAATATATAATTAAACTAAAAAGAAGATTGTTTAAAATCAAGTCTATTATAAGATCTTCCTTATACATGATCAATCAAAATTACAAATTTATACGGATCAGTATAAAGAAGCAAAAAAAATAATAAATGCAAAAAATACAAGAAACGATTGTCTAAACCTATCTGGTACATTAAGAAAAAATGTTAGGGACAATTTTATATATAGAAATTTTCTAATTATAGCTCCAAACAGTTTTTAATTCTAATATTAATTTAAATTCATGATGAACTTGACTTTAAGCATTCTTTAAAAAAAAAGGCTTCATTTCTCTTTTGTTTCATCATATGATTAGTTTCAAATTTAGTAATTAAAAATTTGAAAGGTGTTTTTTCTATATGGGAGGTCAAAAGTAGAAACTACCGAATTTATTTCTAAGTAAATTTTTTCCAGACTTTAAATTAAAATATCTCAACAACTATTAAACCAAACTTAACAAATATTTTTTTATTTTAATTCTATATAGTTATAGAATTAAAATAAAAAAATTTGTCAAGTTTGGTTTACTAGTTGTTGAGATATTTTAATTGATAATCTGTAAGTCAATCAGAGAAAACGATTTACATTTATTAAGTAATTGTAACACAAATTAATTAATAAAAATCCTGATTTGTAAATGTGAAGTTTTTTTTGTAAAATATATATGATTCTGATTCTTGTACATACTGTACGTACGTATTCTTAATATTTATTACTCTCACTTATTATCTACCTGTCCACCTATTTATTACTACCTACTTGCTTATTACTCATCTATTTATTACTACCTACCCATTTATTATCCTATTTATTACTACTCACTCACTTATTACCTGCCTACTCACTAGCTTATTACTCCCACTCACTTATTAGCCACCTCAGTTATAAAACAAATTGTCAAAGAATACGACGTATAAATTCTGAAACTACATCTTTTATTAAAATAATCTGGAGAACAAAAAAATAATTTAGAAGTTAATGACAAGATATACTTTTTGTTCTATAAGTAGATACTGGACTCAAGTCAACTCGTAGCTTAAAAAACATAGTCTTAACTTGAGTTAATTCGAGTTAAAACTGTTTTTTAAACTACAAGTTGATTCAAGTCTAGTCTTTACCTATAGGTAATTCAGCAATCAGACAAGATAATTTGTGCTTTGGCTAATAAATGAAGTTTTGTTTTAAACTTAGTGATTCAAACAACAATGCTTACTATTAATTTTTTTTTTGAATGCAGATTATTTGACCAAGTTTTTAAGTTACATACAATAGATGATATAGAGTATGCATAGAATATATACAATTACATACTATGTTTTAGTTAGTACCTGGTTTTTTATACTGTATATACTTTCATGCGTGTATATTATCTTTATTGATAGTTGATGGTTTATTTATATTTGCTATTAAACTATGTAAATAAATAATTTGATTAATAAAGATTATATATATTATATATATTTGAGAAATCAGTTTTAGAGATATTATTTTTTTTATTAAGTTTAACAAGATATACATTTACAATGACTATTAGAGTTAATGTATTAAAAATTATCACAATAGTAAAATTTGGAAGTCTCAATTGAAAATATAAGCCCTACCAAAATCTACTATACTCTTTTATTAATAACTCTAACCTAAATCCTAACTTAAAAAAGGCCTCAAAAAATTTTAAAAATCATACATCAAATAGATTCAAATTTCACCATTATTCGAATTCACAAAAATTAGCAAGTTTGCTATGCTAAATTATACAATAAAAATAACATATGTTCATAGAATTATGAAGAATAGATTAGAGATAAATTTAGCTCAACATATAGTATGAAATATAGTCCTTGATGGGTAATTAACTAATTGATAAAATGATGAATTAATTGTGTAGTTAGAGTAGTAAGAGTAGTAAGAGATTAGTAATATGAAAAAAGCAAAATAAAAGTAGAAAAAAAAAAAAAAAATAGTAATACTTCTCTTGCATTTAATAAATATACAAATATTAATGATTCTCGCTATGCAAAGTAAAAAGATAAAGCCATTTTATTGGTAATGACTTACTATTATTAGTTGTATTACAATATACCAGTTGCAATTTGAATATTATTTAATTTATTACTAATATATTAAAGAAATCTATCTTTCATACTCTGTAGCTTTAAGTTGAAATCCTTTAATACAATCCTATTTTTACTTGTGCCATTTTCTGAGAATCATACATTTGGTGTTAGATGTATTACTAGTTGCAATTTGCACCAGATCTATTTTAATCTATTCAATTATACTTTCATATTTTGTAGCTTTGAGTTGAAATTTCTTAATACAATTATCAATATCCCTATTTCTACTTGCCACTTTTGTACTATTTTCTGAGAATTACTAGACAAGTTAAAATTCCTTAATGCAATTATTAACATCTCTATTTCTACTTATCCATCATTGTGCTGCCCTCTGATGGTCACATATTTGACACCAGACATTAGTTGAGTTATACTGGTTGCAATTTGCATATATTCTATCAGGTCTACACTTTCATATTCTGTAGCTTTAAATAGAAATTTCTTAATGCAATTATCAACATTTCTATTTCTATTTGCCACTCTTGTGCTGGTTTTTTGAAGGTTACATGTTTGATACCAGACACATTTTCGTATTTTGCGCTTTAAGTTAAAATCTCTTAATTATTACTATTTCTATTTCTACTTGTCTTCTCTTGTACCATTTTCTAAAAACCATATAGTATATTTGATACCAGACGTTAGATGTACTATACTGGTTGCAATTTGCATATATTCTATCATCTCTATTAAGTTTGAAACCAAATATGTTTTAGGCCTAAAGTATAAAAACACTTTTCTGATATTTAATTCAAATACGTAAGAATGGTGTTCTTGCAAAGTGCACTTGCTAATGCTTTTTTACTTAATAATCCAAAGCTGTTATCACGTATCATCTGAATCTAACAAAAAATTAATGTAGTATTCTTGAAAAGTGAACATGCTAAGATTATATTGTACCTATATTTTGCAGAGTAAAGTATCTACATAATATAATTTTTTTTTATACATAAAAAATTAGATATTACAATTAGTACATGTTATATTCGTATACAACAAGTATTTAGGATCTACACTATTTGGCGCAAAAGATACTTTGTTCTGCAATTTGCTAAACCGTTTTACCTTCAGATCCAAGATTATACCCTCTAAGATCCAAAGAAATTTGTATTGTTTTCGTATTTGTTTTTTTATTTCTAGAAACAAAGCAACTCTAGACAGCACTAGAACAACTATAAAAAAAAGAAAACGATGAGTTAATGTAATATGAATATTTATATAAGCACATTGATGCATATTAACTAACATCTATATTTTAAAATCTCGTACTATTGCAACGTAAAATAGTAAAATCTGTCTTTTGTTATTTTAAAATATAATTTACTTTTAAAATCCAAAAAAACTAATAATTTTGTTGTAAAATAAGCTAAAAGCGATGAATTATGAATTATCTTATTATCTAATGAATATAGGGTTTTATTTAGTAAATGCCGTATGCTTACTGAGTAAAGTTCTTTGAAAAAATATTAATATTTAATAGGGGCAGTATCATTTATCACCTGATTATTTTTTATTAGAGGCTTATCCTCTCCCCCTCTCTTAATATAAAAAAATCAGATTCTTATATATAATTTTAACTTTTATTACTCCTCTCTCTCTAAAAAATCATCTGATTTTTGTCACATTCCTAGTCTGATAATTAGAAATATATAGTATTATTTTATCGGTTGTACTACTTAAATACTATACTTATTTAAAAATTTTATACCTTACTTTATAGGCTAAAAATTTCAATTCGACTTTGCATTATAAGTGATCTCTGTCAATCTTAATAAGGAAAATTCTCTAATTAACTGGCAGATCATCAATTAACTTAAAATCTAGAAAAAATTTACTTAGAAATAAATTCAGTGGTTTCTACTTTTGACCTCTCATATATCAACAATTATATTTTTAATTAAAATTATTGTTGATTTTAATACTATTGCTATAAGTAGTAGACACATTTTAGGAGTTCTGGCACATTTTTTCATACTGGTATCAATCTTGTATATAAATTCACTTTTGCATCGTCAAATTAATTATTTTTATCTAGAACATATTTATTTAGCCAAATTCATATCAAAAAGGATCAATGATGATAGATTTA